CAGTTGGGGGCCATTAGCGCCGCGCTGTTTTGGAGCGGTTAGGAGCTAGCAGTCCTGGATTGTGAGAGATATGTCAGACTGCCAGTTTAGGGATTGGGCCTAAACCAGCAGTTGGACATCCCCTGAGGAGTCCCAGATTGAGAGGGTGCAGGCCGGGCTGAGGGACATCACCCTCCATGTGCCAATTTCGTGCACTGGGCCTCTAATATGACTTTCATTTTCCTTTTAAGTCACTCATTGGCTTGTTTCCTCCTGATGAGCTCTTGGTCAGCTTTCAGTGGTGCCCACTCTCCATTCTAGTAATTACACCTACCTTTGTTTTATCTCTCCTTCTGCCTACCATTGGGCACCTGAGCCCCCACCAGCAGGTGGGTGTGAGAGGAGAGCCCAGGTAGTAAGCACACCAGAAGGTGGGAGATCTCCGACTGTTCCCATGTGCGCTTCATGCAGATGATCACTGTGCTCCCCTCCAGTTTCGCAGTGACCAGGTTTCAGAACTAATATTTGTATTGTACATTTGATTAAAAAAAGATAATTCTTTTGTAAATTTGTATTTATATTTGCCTTTTTTCCCTCAGGAGAAATCCCTTCCTGGTGTTGTGATGGCACTTGTGTGTAATGTATTTGACATGCTTTACCAGCTTGCCAATCTAGAGGAGCCAAGGTAAATATAAATATAGGGAACCAAGGAACTTTTCCCTTGAAATGGATTTACATCTAATTCTAAATGACTCTGTTATTGAAACTGTGATTTATCTGAAAAAATTTCAAATTTTGAAAAATTTCAGGATAACTCTACGAGTACGGAAGCTTCTGCTCTTAATACCCACTGATCCAGCCATTCAGGAAGCCCTTGACCAACTGGATTCTTTAGGAAGAAAGGTATGGGTATCTAGGGGGGTTAATTAACTGTCATGGAATTTTATATCATGATTCAGTGAAAATACAACACCAAATCACACTACAATCATTTGATACCTTTTTCTTAATGATTTTTCTTCTTTTGAAAAATACTTTCTCTATAAATGGAAATCAGAACTTCGTGTTGGCTTTTAAAGTATCAAGATGGAGTGAAAAATTATGTCAGATTTTAAAACCAGAAGAGTCTTTAATATCATCTACTTCTACCTTCATGATATATGTTAGGAAACCAAAGCCCAGAGAGAATGGAGTACCAGGCTTAGACTCTGGCTCCGATTCTTCTCTCATGATGCTTTTCTGATTGTGATTTGGTTATCTTTTCAGTTTCTCACTGTTGATACATAAAATTCATTTTATTTAGTTTTTAGGATATCATTCCATTATGTATATATTGAAATTGTGTTTAATCCCTAACATTGTTTATGTTCTCAGAATAAATTAATTTATAACAAAGTTGTTAGAATTAAGTTATGAATTTTATATTTAAGGGGTTGACATTTAGACAACTTAATCTTGTCATATTTGGCTTATATACTAGCTTGAGGGAGAAGAGAACTAATGTAATAAAACATCACTAGTACTAGTTCCAAAACTCAAAACTACCACTTTTGCAATCTTATAACTTCATTATCAGTATTTAGAGGTACAAGTTTTAAAAACACAAAACAAATTAAGATGACCTTGTTGATGTTGTTTAAAATAAGATTGTCATGAGGTTGAGCATGTATAGTTTGTGAGATAGAATTTGGTGTCTTATTAATAACTGTAGAACTCATGTGGTTTTATGAGATTAAGTTTTAGAAAATATCATTGGTGTGGATTATATTTAAAAGGAAAAGACTATCAGAATGTATACAGATATGTTTCTTTTTAATTTGTGCTTTTAAGACATACATTCTCTTTTTCATTCTCTTAACTTAGAAAACATTGCTGTCTGAAACAAGCTCTCAGTCTTCAAAATCTCCATCCCTCTCTTCAAAGCAGCAGCACCAGCCAAGTGCCAGCTCAATTCTAGAGAGTCTCTTTCGATCTTTTGCTCCAGGAATGTCCACCTTTCGAGTGCTTTACAACTTAGAAGTAAGAAACCTATTTCTTTGCACTTCGTTTTGGTTTGTAGAATCATGCTTTCTGATGACAGAAACACGTTAACAGGTTTACTCTGTTAAAACTTAGTTTTTAAAAAGTACAAGATAGAATATAAATTGAAATATTTTGGTTTTTGCCTTTGTAAATGCTCAACTTTTTTCAGTTTATGCCTATGTGCATTGTTATACTTGCAAAATAGCATCTAAATAATTAGGAAGCTTTATCTATTAAAATGTATCTTTACCTTCCTCTAGAAGTTCTGTAATTATGTATAATGCCAGTTATTAATCCTGAGCCTTCTTGCTATTAAATGCATTTTCTTTTTAAAAAACTGTTGTAATTGTTTACATTAATGCAGCTTTATGAGGAATTTGTCAGAAGACATGTTAACATGATTATTTCAAGGTTATAAAAAAACCGTTAGAAGAATTTGAGCAAAAGAATATTTTTATTACCCTCCTCCTCCAAAGTGGCTTTAAACAAGTAGATTTAGTTCAGTAAACATTTACTAATTACTTACCATCTACAAGTTATTGTGATAGTTAGGGGGTCAGAGTTGGAAAGACAGATATTTGCTCCCAGGTCTTATGAGTAAGACATAGGAAGAGGCTGGATATGCTGAGTCTTGAAAGCCAAGCATTAACAAAGTGATGTGGGAGAGTGACCAGGGGACCAGGTGGAAACAGTCTTGCTCCTGGAGGGTCAGTGATCGGACCCTGGTGCATATTAGGTCTGGAGAAAATAAAGCCCTAGATGATCTTGCTTTGACCTAGGAAATTATATCCAGGCAGTTCGTTATTAAAGAATCCATAGCACTACCTAAGCAGCCTTAATTATCAAATTAATGTTGAGTAGATTTTGAGTGATGATAAAGGCCATAATTACTAATGGGTACCTGGTTGGACATTTTTTCCAAGTTTTATTTCATCTGACAATCTAATTTGGAGTATATAATTAGATTCATTCATTTTATGGTCTACTTGTTGCTTATATGTTCAAACTGTGGTAACATTTCACATTTGCCTTAAAATAATTACTCTTGTCAAAAGATGTGTCGGATTCAAAAGTAGAAAATACTTAGTGAATATTTAAAAAATAAAGCATACCTTTATTTGATGTGGGCATTTAAAATAGGTAGACTATCCCAAAACAGAAAATTGCTTAGAAATTCTTGGCCAATTTAAGCTTATAAATTTTGAACTTTCCACTGCTGCCAGATTTGTCTTTTGCTTTCAAATGATTGTCTCAAAAGTTAAGGTATAAATCTTAACACCCACATTTGAGAGCACCTAGAAAAGCAAAATGGCCCAACAGTGGGTCTAGCTTGTCTTTCAGCTACCTAGATGGCAGTATCTTAGAGCCAAAGGACTCAGTAGCAAAATACCTCCAGTACAATTTTAGGACTTCTGTTAACTGGGATTCCTTTGGTAGGTTTTCTTTTGCTTTAGACAACACAAAACATTTGGAAAACATAACACTCCCAAAAGCACTTATTTTTACTATTAGAAAGATTCAGTTCCTCCCATTTTGACCTTTAACTTATGTTTGCCTACTAAGAAACTTCTGGATCTTCCAAATACCCATTGATTTGGAAAAACATTTTATTTTCACTGAATTATTGTCCATTAAACATGGGGAGTGTGTGCATGTGGCTATCAGCACTCTCTCATAGAAGAATTAGAGTCACAGAGGGTTTCCATTTTCCTGTGTAAGGCTCATGAATCAGGGTTGATGAAACTGTTTCCCAAAGAGCAACTCAGGAGGAAAGCATTTTAAAAATAAAAAATCTCACACTAAAAATCTAAGCTCATAGAACCCCATAGGTTCATAGGAGCAGATTATTTTTTTTTAGAATAGGAAAGGATCTTGAATTACATCTAGTTTAAAACCTTGAAGAAATTGAGATAATGAGCCTTTATTTAAAATTTTAAATTATAATAACTAAATAAGTCAGCTCTTTATGCTTTGTGCCTTGTGCTTATGCTAAGCACCTTAAGCTTGCGTTATCTTATTTAATCCAAACAATCCTCTGGTAAAGGTAATTATTATCCCAATTTAGCTGATGAGAAAACTGAGGCAAAAGGAAAACTTACATGCCTGAGATTATTTCTGTGAAATAATTCTCTTGTCATACCAAAATATTCAGTTAAGCTTTTCTTTAGGTATGTATAAGAGTGTTATAAAAGGGGCATGGATATTAAAGTGAGATACATCTGGATTTAAATTCTAACCATGTGACCTTGGATGGGAGGTCACTAAACCTCTCAGGTCACAGTCTTTACCTATAAAATTAAATACTGTATATATGCCATGCATAGTGAGATGAGATAATGCATGTTAAGTACCTCATCTTATACCTAGATGCTCAATAAGTAGGAACAAGTTAGAATCATTAGTGGGGACTCATCTAGCACTTTTAGTAAATGGGCTGTTTTATAAAACATATACTTTTTTAAAAAATATAAATTTTTTGTTATTGATTTCAGAGACAAAGGGAGAGGGAGAGGGAGAGAGAGATAGAAACATCAATGATGAGAGAGAATCATTGATCGGTTGCCACACTGGGGATCGAGCCCACTATCCAGGCATGTGCCCTGACCAGGAATTGAACCCATGATCTCCCGGTTCATAGGTCGATGCTCAACCACTGAACTACACCAGCCAGGCTTAACTTACATACTTTTTAAATAACATATCTAGCATGTCATCTGTTCTTATCTAAGCCTGAGAGACAGAGACATTCACATTTGCTGGTTTTATGAAAAGAGAGCACATCAGCTTTCTTCAAAACAGGTTTTTCTTGCTAAGTAAATAGAACTTGGAAAATGTGATTATTTATTTGTGAAACATCAGCCTCCTTATACTTCTGGGTGGGAAAATGGCATGCAGCATTTAAAGAGATTGTGACTTGAGTTGTGTGATTATTTAGTAAAGGAATAATTTCTGCTGGAAATGTTGGGATGATTAATTGTGCTTATCTATTTCCAAGGTTCTAAGCTCCAAACTCATGCCAACAGCTGATGATGACATGGCAAGAAACTGTGCAAAATCCTTCTGTGAGAACTTCCTCAAAGCAGGAGGTTTGAGGTTAGTGTCCCAGTATAATGTTACATGAATTGCAGAAAATTATTCTATTCTTTTTATTAACTTCTTTTGCCAAGCCTACAAGGTATTATGTGAAGCATTATGAGAGTTTTAATAAGAAGGAATGATGTCTCAGCCTTTGGAATATTTTAATTTATTTCATGATTCTTGATTATTTAAAAAACTTAGAGAAGCATGTCTCTTTCCGCTCTGGTAGTGGGGGATTCTCAGGAAGAGGAAAGGTGAAGAGGCTAAGTTGGTTTCTGTTAATTCCCACATCCATTTATGCTAAGGTGAATTTGATTCCCAGTAGTCCACGTTGTAGAAGGCATTAGTTCTGAGGCTGCAAAGATAAATTAGGTATTATCCCTGCCCTTAAGAGGTTCATGGTTTAACAGTTATTATAACTATTAATACAAAAGCTTATAAAAATCACTTTAGTGGAGTGGAGGTTATGAAAGAAACTAGTGGTTAAATTGACTAAATTTGGTTGGGGTCATAAGATTAGGAAATGCTTCACTGAAAGTGACATTTGAGTTGGGAGTTGTGAAACCAGTAGTCAGTGTGGTCATTCCCTAGGTAAACAAGGAGGGCAGGGGCACTCTGAGCCAGAGGTGGGGGGCAGGGAATGAATGAAGCACTGAAGTACATGGCCCCTCTTGGGAATATAGTTGCCAGGTGAGGCTAATGCCAAGGGTAAGGGAGAGAAATATGTAAAGAGTCACATTGAGGAATCCCAACATTGTATTGTAGACCATGGAAAAACAGAAAGTTTATAAACCAGGAATTACCTAGAACAATTACTCTGGCTGCATTGGAGAAGAATGGAAAGTCTTTATGACTAGATATATGACTACGGTAGGAACATTTATACATTGACCCTATGATTGCTGCTTGAGAAAGAGGATAAATGGTGAATCTCTAGTCCTTATGGGAAGTAAACATGGAAGGAGATGGAAGAAACAGAGGAAGTCAAGAGAAATTAATTTGATTGCATACGAGGTCCCTGTGAGTCATGTGAAGTGGATGGTTTGGATAGGATGCTCTTGAGAGATGTGGAGAATTTCACTAGAGATTTGGGAGAGCCATCAGTGTAATTGCAGCCATTGGGGCATAAGCAGTTGGTAGAGCTGAGTGGCAGGGATAAGTCTAGGAAGTAGAAACTGTATGCGGATGTCTCTGCTTTACAGTGAGTGACCTAAAGGGGGTGACAGTACTTTGATGGGAAGGATAAGAGAAAAGTTGCCCTTTTTTGTTTTGGTTTTAACTTGTAGAAGACTTGATTCTCTTTGTAGGCAGACCAGAAGGGGCTGATGAAAAAGACAAATAAAGATGAAAAGGGGATGATCAATTGAGGGACTGTGTTCTGCAGTTGAAAGATTTGCATTAGGAAGAAGTAGGCATGCAATTTCTTCCAGGAGTGAAAACCAACTTGAAGATAGTTAAAGTTCTGTTCGGAGGCCCTGAGGGGAAGAGAAGTTGGGTGAGACCATGGAGAGATAAAGGGGAGGAGAACTAAAGAGAACTGAAGGAATTCCCAAGCATGTGGAAGGCCTAGTGCACATATAGTTTTATTCTTTGTTCAATATTGTAGAGATGTTCTTGCAACAATTTAATTCAGTTTATTCGGCCAATTACAGAGCTATGGTAATAAAGGCATTTTACTTCTGGTTTATTCTTGTATGTCAGTTAACTTATATGCCAGGCAGTTTTCTAAGCAATGAACAGAGTGGCAAATAGATTAGACCAAAACCCATATCCTCATGAAGCTTACTGTCTAGAGGGGGAAAGAGACAATAAAGGCAGAAGTAAAAGTAACAGTGTATGTCAGGTGGTTGTAAGAGCTGCAGAGAAAAATAAGACAAGAGGGGATGGAGGGAATGGTCAGGGAAAGCTTTACTTAATGGGGTGACATTTTACAGACATGATGGAGGTATAGAGTGAGACCATGATCTCCTGGGGAAAGCTGTCTACAGGAGCAGCCACCTTAGTGGGACCCACCTGATGGCTGCAGAGACCAGCAGGAGGCCATTCTGTTTGGGGCAGAGTGAGGCAGGCAGCAGAGGGGACATGAGATTATAGACATAGGTCAGGTTATGTAGGATTTTATAGGCTACTGTGAAAATTGCCTTTTTTCTGTAGGAAATAGGAAACCATTGGAGGATTTGTACAGAGGAGGAGTGTCATGATCTGACTTAATCTTGAAAGGATCTCTCTGGTTGATCTCTTGAGACTAGATTTTAGAGGTGGAGCATTAAGAATGGAAGCAGGAAGCCCTAACTGTTTTTGCTCAGTGGATAGAGCCTTGGCCTGTGGACTGAAGGGTCCCAGGTTCGATTCCGGTCAAGGGCATGTACCTTCGTTGCAGGCACATCCCCAGTAGGGGGTGTGCAGGAAGCAGCTGATAGATGTTTCTCTCTCATCAATGTTTCTAACTCTCTATCCCTCTCCCTTCCTCTCTGTAAAAAATCAATAAAAGTATATTAAAAAAAAAAAAAAAAAGAATGGAAGCAGGAAGAACAGTTGGGAAGCTTCTGCAGTAATATAGATTGGAATGGCCATGAAAAAACAAGCTTATTGAATACACCAATTCTGGATATATTTTTGAATTGTTAGTTCACATTAGTAAACTCAGGCCAGTTAGCAAGAAGGTAACTATACAAACATTCCGTGTTGGAGATCCTTCTTTGACTTAACAAGGAGTCTAATTCTAAATGGATGAGAAGGGTTATAGTGATCATAAGAAGTCATTGGGATAGAAATATGTATGGTTCATTTTATATGTAAGGATCTTGTAGGAATTTTGAGTGATGGATAACATTTATTAGCAATTAAATTACAGAAATTTTCTTAGGAAAGAAATAGAAGTCTTTAATATCCTGTCTTCTTTCTGTTTTTTGAAGTTTGGTTGTAAATGTCATGCAGAGGGACTCCATCCCATCAGAAGTCGACTATGAAACAAGGCAGGGAGTTTATTCTATCTGTCTACAACTTGCAAGGTATGTCAATATGTTGTGTTAGTCTCACAAGGCAAGACTTGACTCTACTTTTCTCACCAATTCAATCATTTTAAGTAGTATGAAATGAGTTTAAATAAGTCTACCTTTTTATTTCCTTTTAAGATTTTTACTTGTTGGACAAACAATGCCCACGTTATTAGATGAAGACATTGCCAAAGATGGTATAGAGGCACTTTCTTCTCGCCCATTCCGAAACGTTAGCCGGCAGACCAGCAGGCAGATGTCCCTATGTGGTACCCCAGAAAAGTCGTCCTACCGACAGTTGTCAGTGTCTGATAGGTCTTCTATTAGGGTGGAGGAAATCATTCCTGCTGCACGAGTTGCAATACAAGTAAGTGATTTGTGTATTCAAGAATTATTAAGTACCTCCTGTTTAGAAACGACTGGTTGAGGGGTGGGACCATTTGGATATCCTATATAATAAAAGGGTAATATGCAAATTGACCGAATGGCGGAACAACAGGTCGCT